CAAGGAACAATGCGCTAGTGAGTAACTGACGTTTCATGCAGTTTTCACCTTTCTCTAGGCGGTAAATTAAAATTTCAGAGCAGCGCGAGGAGATAAAACGGTTGCAAGAAACGTCTTCAGCGGTAGCAGCTTCGGCTAAGCGAGAAAATGTCCAGGTTCGTATTACTGAAGTCCAGTAAAATTTTGTTACAAATTCAAACATTTGGTCGTTTAATCGACTAGAGTTCAGCAAATGGCAGGTGCTCATTTCCTACAGTACCAGAAACATTAAAAATGTATCTGGCCTCTTAGCTGTGACTTGTTATTGTTGGTAAATCTTGTAAGACCGGCTGGATTTTTGAACACCTAACGTCCGTGCAACATTGGTGACGAACAGCGCGGTGCTCTAGCCAAACAGCAACGTTAGTTTCATCGACATACTGCTAAAATGCACTGGAGTCGCTTCCTGCATAGCTGTCTCTTTACTCATCTATAAGCAAAAAACGCAGTCGTAATGCCCGAAGCTAAGTTTGGTGGAGTTGCGAGCTTATTAACATATTTTGTGGTTGTTCAGTATTTGAAGCTCCCAGTACGAAGTCGACGAACCTTGAACAATCTCGTTGATCAACGTTAATGTTTGCCTTTTTCCTTCTACTTTTCCTGTCTGGATGCAGATCTTAGGCCATCTCCAGACAAGCTTTGGCGAATTTTTGTGAAACGAGAAATCGGCAGAACCTAGGCTTTTTAGTGTAGTGAAGATTATTGTAACAGTGCAGAGTCGTTTTGCTATGTTTTCTGTTTCACTTCCTTATCAGTGTCTTCTCAAGCCATTAAACCCATCCTTGTTTCAGTGAGGTTAATGTCTGTAATAGCTTCGTTGTCACTTTTCACGAGGCTTGTAAGTTTTTCCGCCGTTCCTGTTCTCTCACACTTTGTTGATCAGACTGCGTAAGATATGGATTTGAATATTTTGAAGCATAGATAATGATTTTATTTCGAAATAGCGTCATTTTGGACGAGGCAGTTTGAAACCTTCCTACGAACAGTATCGCTTCCCCCTCTAATTGTGACGTTTTGTATTCAGTATAGAGCATTCTGTAATTTATTAATGCTTTGCAGGAATATGCCTCTTTGTGCTTCCAAAACCCGCATATACACAGCGTACAACAGCAAGACAGTCATTGCGTGATACGTGTGGAAAGCAGGAGACGACACTTTAAGGTTATAAGTTTCATGAAGGTGCAGATCAAGTGCGGCATCAATAACTTTCTGTACAGTTCAGTTCTTGTTTTCAGAACGATAGGGCTTCCTCGTGTTACGGAACTTCGAAACTGGCTGGATGTTAAATCTCTATGTAGCGGGTAGGTGATATCTTGCAGTTGGCGTTCAGCGAATTAGATAGAACTAATAAACAGTCTGCATCATGGTATTAACGACGAGGCGGTATCTCGATTGCCCAGATCTATCGCCACAAGAGCGTAGGATCACCTGTTAAGGCTCTGGTATAAACTGGAGAAACTTTGTTGATTAAGATTATACAGTGCATTGTAAATTGCCATCGCATATCAAAAGGGGCTCCAATCAAGAATAAATTGGGTATATAGAAGTTAGCTTTCATTACCTTATTGATGACGTAAACAGTGTGATCCGACGATGTTAACTTTCAGTAACCGCCACACCAAAATACTTCACATTTTTAACCCTTATGACCGGCGTATGGATTAGTTTAGTTTCTTCTCTGATAAGACTGACTAGTGATACTCATGTTTAGAGGAATAGACACACTCCATGCACTTGCTCAGGTTAATGATAATCCCATATGAGTTTGTTCAATCCAACAATTTATTCATGTCGTTTCTGTATTCTTCGACGTCTTCGCGGTTTATGACAGTTGCAAAAACGGCAGTTTCGTCCGCATACTTCAGGCATGTTTGCGGTAGTTCGAGTCTAAAATTAGTGTACGGGGCGAAAAGCAGTCTGGAGAGACATTAACCTTGCGTTTCGCCGAGATTATTAGGCAGCTGGTGCCGTTAAAGCTCACTGATTGTTTACGCTCAGACAGGTACTCTGCTATAGACCGTAGAACACGTAGCGATTAATCCCTCTAGCAGAAAGATAGAGACTAACATCCCGTGGGACGGTATCAAACGCCGATGAAAAGTTAAGGAACATGGTCTTAATTATTTTTTGCCCTTGTACAGTTTCGCAGCTACACGTTGTACAAAATATGCAAATGTACTTCTCCTGGTTTTTAAGCCAATTTTTTTTAAGGGATCCTGAGCATGCCTGAACGAAACAAAAACGAATAATACAAGCAAATGTTCAAGCCTTTTCAAACGAGCGGAAGTAACCGTAATCGGTCTAAAGTCTTCTGCTGCAGCTATGTTGCTCCTGTAATGGAGACATCCTCGACGTACGCCATGAGCGTGGAATGACATCGTTTTTTAAGCATTGGTTAACGATATCATGTAATACGTTACTAAGCTTAGCTAAGCAGCATTTTAAGATGGTGTAACACACCATCGTCCCCGGCTGCTGATGATGAGTGTTGTCGTCGAATGCAGATTGCCACGTCAGATGGGGAAAACGTTGGATTCTCATCGTTGTGGTCTGCGCGGAGCGTCGGTGGAATTCGCATGCAGTCCTCAGGTTGAAGGGAGAAACAATTGCGATCTTCTGCTTGAAAATTCGATAGGCAGATGTTGAGCTTATATACCCACAAGCAGATCTAATTTCATTCTGTAGTTGCTGAAGTTTAGAGTTTCTGGCAGTTGCATTCATGTTCCATGCATTCACCCATGACCTCTGCAGTGATTTCCTCGCACTTGGTTCGCTCTTCTCTTTTTGAATACTGGTTTTCTTACGTTGGAGTAGTTTTTGCGATTAGGAAAGAGTAACGGTATCCGTAGATATTGACTTTTTCTCGAGGACAACAACTGTCAAAAATGATCTTGACAGACTGAAACTGCTGGCGCGTAGTCATTGATGTCATCGCTGTAAAAGGCTCGCCAGGAGGCGCTCCGCTCGCTCTGCAGTAAAAGCGTGCCTGCGCGCCGTAAATTTGTTTCGCGCAAAAATTTTAGTGTTGGGTAAGTGCCAGGGGCTTCTCACGCAATGACTGGATGATGCCGGGGGCAGCACTTATCTCATTGATAACAAAGATGTGGTCAAATTTCTCATCCATTTTGATACGGAAGTTATCTATATCTGTGAGACCTAAGTGGGTATTAAACTATGTATCGCGACAGCTGAAGTTATCAGCAACAATAGTTAGGCTCTCGGCAATTCCGTAATTGCAGTTTTCCGTTAGAGATGTCGGCGAAAGCCCTGATGACACAACTTTTGCTTTTTTCTGCAGTATTCAGATTTCACGCAAAGCAAAGCTGAATTCTAATGTTCTGGTGTCATATCTTTATGGCTTTTACATTACAGATTGAAAATGCTGCGGTTCAGGTGGAAATTGCTCAGCCGACTAACGACAAAAGTGATGTAACGCTAGAGGTAGCTTTGGAGTAGTTCAGCCAACTTTGTATTTATTCGACGGTTCTATTATTTTAGGAAGGTTCTTCTGAGCAAGGCACTGGTTCTAAAGTTGAAGCATATCGAAAGCAAGTTGAGGAGTTGACTGCTCGTTTGGAAAAGGCAACAACGGTAAAGTATATTCTGCGGTTATGTTTCACGTAGATCATTTTATACCATGAAAAAACATTGAGCGATCGGCTGACCAGTGATGATTTCACGCCAATTTGCGGCTTTTGAACCATTTCATATGCGAGTATTGACGGTTTTTTGTACCAGTTTCAGTTTCGAGGTTTACAGAACATGTTGTTTCGCAGAACTGTAAAGGTCAGATGACACTGGTAATTTAGAAAATGACATGACGTTAACGTATGAAAAGTTAATTATTGTATCATATCATGTTGTTCATGTCCAAGCCATTTTACCGCAACAATCTACTTTATTTTATGGTGTTGAAACATGCATAAGATAAGACGCATAGATGACCAACAGATCCCCATCTGGTTTTCTGACAACTCAAACTCATGACGATTCATAAAACCAGTAGGCACAATTTTTTGTCGAACGAAGTTGGAATCCTCGAAAAATTAAGCAACGAGATAAGTTTTCAGTTTACGCGTCAGCGAGAAAGCCCGCTGCCTCGTGCATCGAGACAGTTGAGGCTTTTTAAGAAGACTGTAACTGCTTTTGCCGTTGGCTGTTGAAGATTGGCATCGCCATTGGCAGAAAGGAAATAACTTGGTTAAAATCTTAAAACTTAAGTACACTTTCAGAGCAAACAAGAAGACGTACTTGGTTTGCGAAGATATCCACGTCTTCGTTACGTATTTACTGCATAGATGCTTGCAAAGCTTGCAGGCTTTCGGTCCGTGATTGCCTTCTGACTCTGAACCCATCCACTCTGCTGCAGACGACAGATGAAATTTACGAAATTCTACCACCCACCTACCTTGAAGAAGACCCGCGAGACACGAGTCGAAACGTCAGTGTTGGGCAGCCACCTGATTGACCCTGTTATTTTTTGCACTGTTTATTATTAAACCGTGTTTTATGCTGTTTTTTCCAGTATAACCACCAACACTAACGAGATATTCAATATTTTCCAAACATGATAGGAATATTTTAAGAATTTCATGAATCCAGACTGAAGATTCTGGTAATACTCACAAAGTACGCTATGGAATTTAAAGTGTTCTTATCGTGGGCAAGGTCGCAACTATGTTTAAATCGCTTTAAACTAACAAAATTGCCGGAAAAGTTTACATCCGGTCAAAAATTTTAAAGGCTTTGAATCGCGATTGTGTTCTATCACTGATCGTTCATGGCGTGTTGAACTCCGGAGGTGCCTTGTTTGATTCTATTCAAGGACAGTCCTTTGTCTTGAAATCCCTTGAGTAAGGAATATATCTAACCTTGCTTCAGGTCACGGCTGCTCTGTCGGTAGAGCGTCGAATTCAGAACTGATAGATCCTTTATTCAAGCTCCGATCATGGTCATTCGCCCTTCTTCCTTCCGAGGTTAACAAGTGAATGCCATTATGTTGAAATGAGTCAGGAGACTTCACCGTATGCTTGCCACATGGCTCTAGATTCTGCCTTTAAAAAAGAAAAGGCACTCTTGCCTGGTGGAACAGATAACGAAGATCAGCACTGCACCATCAGCTTCTTGGTAAGATGGGCACCGAAATGGCCCCATCATGGAAGTGAAGGATGACCGACGGTGACAAGCTTTCTTCTTTCGTCTGTGACTGATCTGTTTGCACCAGGTGGTGTGGACGTCTGAAAGGCAACACGTTTTAAAAGTTTTGAAGACTCGCAAGAATATTTGAAAAGAAAATACACTCAACAGATCTAGAGCGCAGCAGTGCATCTACGGACTGTTCTGGTTCAGTAATGTTTAAGGCTACTGGTTTTATCAGTCACTTAGCGAGATCTTCCAGGTGTGCGGTAATTATTCTCATTTTTTCCCTATCGTTTATTCTGTTTAAACACACCACGTTTGTATCTTATGTTGCACGATGTAGATTTAAAAAGTGGCTCTTTGTTGTTTCGAACGAGTTTGCTCCTAACGCTTTATTCGAAGCGTTTAGGGAACCGAACAGGAGACGCTGTTGAGGTTGGAAATTGCTGACTTTGAGCGCACTGTCAAAAATCTGCAGGGCGAAGTCGCTGCGTTGAGTGAAGCGAAAGCGACGAAGGAACGAATATGCGAACAGTTGCTGAAAGAGAAAGGTTTCTTGTTTCTTAAGGTAGTCGCCGTTTTTTGACTCCTTTATATTTTCCTTGTAGAAGCGGTCGAGAGTAGTCAGGTTGAATCATCGCGTCTGTTGTCTGCTTTGAAGACTCAAGTTGCTGAACTGCGACAGAATTTACAGAGCGTCGAACTGAAGGTAGGATTACGGTACATAACTGTTTTATGACATTTCCTGAAGGGGCGCCCGTGCTTTTTATTTTCACCTGCCGTTTTTACCGCATTTCTTCTGAAAGTATTCACGCAGGGTAGCGTTCCTATGATAATTAAACTCGTATGAGAGCTAACATTACTACCTGATTAAGTCAAGAAGTAAAGCTAGCAATATAGCGAAGCTGAACTGCTTTATGTTGCTCTGCTGATAATCCGGACCTGGCATTGTCTCAAGTTGGAATTGAATCCTTAGCTCTTGTCTGATTACAAAAGTGCTAATACTGTTAGAAAATGTCTGAAGCCGCAATGGGATGATTGAGCGAGGCGCGGCTCGTTGAATGCGGGCCGTTTCGACGTGATCGATAGTCGTTTCAACTCGCGGTCCTGTGCGGCAAGTTTGAATCTGTATGATCGGACTTTGGCCACTTCAGTCAGCTGTTACATCCTACCCACCATATTATACATTCATAAGAAGCCCTCCGTTAACACAGTGCGAAACTTCTGTCAGACTACTGAATTTATAAGATTTTCATTCTACTTAATGATTCAATTTTTCTGACTTCGAGAACTAATTAATTCAGCGCGCATCGTGCGGTCGCGAGTTTGACTGTGTATATTAGCAGAGGTTTGCCTCTGTACCGTTTCCGAGTTTTTCACTATTTACATTTATATAAACCAGTAGTTCTCTGTGAGAACAGTTCTAAATGTCTGTTAAATTAGTGAATTTCGGGAATCACTGTTTTGTTTTATGACGGTGCGATTGTTCTAGTTCATTCTCTTTCACTTTGCTAAGTTAGCCACTTTGCTTTATAAAGTTTCGTTATGCATAACTGTATGCCAGTTATCTTATCGTGTTAACTTATTAACTTTTTATTATGAGAGGACAGTACGAACCCACTGTCAGCTTTATGAATTTCGAATATTTCTGTTTCATTTCATGATTCCATGTCATAACTGCGCAGGGTCATTTTGGGCGCGGTAATGTGTTCCCGAGTGTAGACGAATATTGGCCTGGACAGATCAGTTTTGCTATCACTTTTTCAACACTGCTTATATTAAACACACGAATTGCACCAGAATACGGGAGACTTGAGCGACTGAGTGTGTCTAGGGTGTTTGCAATGCTGCTTTCAAAACTAGATGTTTTCCTCAGAGGGGGTTTGCTACGTCGTTGATAGGAGTATTACTGATGGAACAAAGAATTTTTGGCGCTGTGAATAGAAGAGTCTGTGCGAAACAACGATACACAGCAAGTACAACCGTTGTGCTGAAAATGGGTGGGGATGAATATTCTTATGATAGTTCGACGGCGGGTGTGGAAGTAGCAGAACTTGTGACGCAGTTTAAAAGACGTGTCGAAGGCAGCATGGAAGCGCTCTGCAAGTTATGAACGACTTCGCGGTTGGATTGTCGCAAGGAGCTCAGGGTTCACTTAAACGGCTTCGAGCACTTAAGAAGATTGCAATGCGAAGAGGAAATAAAGTGAATTCCACTCCACTGGCTCTATTAAATCTAGAGACTAATTCTGCCGGAATCATATAAAAAATGTGAATTGCAGTCATATCACGTCTTTAAATCGTTCTTGATTGGTGACAATGGCCCTGGACCTGATCGATAGATGTTTGGCACTCAGGGAAATCTGCATATCTTGCGAAAATCAAGAACGTGGTTTGTCGACGAAACATTTCCACTTGCACCGCCATTGTTCTCTGAGGTCTTTACGTTGCTGACAGGACAGTTTGGTAGAGTCCATAATGTTGTATACGCGTTTTGCCAGACAAGCAGACAGCAATGTACAGCATGCGTTTTCAGATTTTAAGAACTGCGGTACCGTAACTTCCTGCCAGTTCGATTTCCTGCGATTTCGAAATTGCTCTGATGTATGCAGTGAAGATTGCTTTCCCAGATGTTAAGCTCGATGGTTGTTTCTGCCATCTGAGTTACAACATGAATAAGCATTTGCGTGAATTGTATTTGTTCGATGCGTGTAATGCCAATGCTGGCTTCGCGTTGAAATCGAAGATGATAACAACATTGGCGTTTGTACTAATTACTATACTGAATGAAGCAGTCGATCGACTGGCTGAAGAACTTCCGAGCGATCTGCCTCCACTTCTTGGGTGGTTCGAAGACTGTTACGTCGATCGCTTGAATAACAGAGGAATTGTGAGACTTCGCTATGTGACCAGTTTACTGTAGGATCAACAACGAACACCATACAAGTCTGCGGAAGCAGCTTATCGACGAATTCAGATCGAGTTGGGAATGTCACACCCACTGGTATGGAAGCTAATTGATGGATTCCGTAAAGGGCATAGGGGCCGTGAAAAATACTACGAACAGCGTGCTGCCGGTCATCAGCCATAAGTTGAAGATATTTCGGGACGCGGACGAAGGCATAATATCTATTGCGAATGACTCTCATAATAGAGGTATTATTACTTACCTTCATGGGTTGGTGCATATCTATGAAATGGTGCAATATTGTTATATATTGCATATAAAATTTAGATATAAATAATGTTACTCTGATGCATCAACTCGTT